TTTTTAAGCAAATTTTTGATTTATATAAAAACTTATCTAATATAGAAAATATTAATATAATTTAGAGGAATGCTCCGAATCCGATCAATCCGGATATCCGGTCATCCATCCGAAATTTAACCGGATTCGGATGGATTCGTTTGTATCACAGGATTGACCGGATAGAAACCGGATTTTCTGATCGATCCGATGATATTAAGTATATGGAAAATGTTAACGTTAGTATTTTATTGATTTAACCAATTTTTGTATACATAACTTTGCATTGAAAAGTGTTATTAATTTATTTATTATTGAAATATATTATATGAACTTAAATATTAATATTTTAATATTTATTCATGTGAAGTGCAAATAAAATATCTATTCATAAATATAATGTATTAAATATAAATAATCAAGTTTGCCTACATATCAATTATAATTCACATTAAAATGTCCAACTTGAATGGTTATAATTTGGACACTTGAGATTCGCCAAAAAAGTTTTCGGAAACTTTTCGAACATAATTACCAAACCATAATTTGTCGGAGGGTTTTCTTCTTCCGTTTCCTAATATTTCTTCAGAAGTTTTAGCAATACGTAATAATGTTGCTTCATCATACCATTTAGCAATAAATTGTAATCCAATTGGCAAATTATTATCATCATATCCAGCTGGTACCGAAACAGCTGGAACCCCAGAAAAATTCGCTAATTGAATGAATCTCATTGTATCAGATGTAATCGTTGCATCTATTTCGCCAAAAGACAACGAGCGTGAATGAACTTTTGGAGCGGTAATGGCAGTCGTAGGTGTTAAAATTAAATTAACTTGATTATTGAAGAGATCCGCAAGAGTATGCATAATTCGGGTGCGAATTTGCTGGGATGTAACTAAAAATAAAAAAATTATGTTTAATTTTTTTTCAATTTTATTAGTGAAATTTATATTCAAATTTTTTATCTCTACTCACTATAATCCTAAAAAAGCAAAAAAAAAAAATAAGCGTTAAATCAAAAGTATATTTCAATAAGCCTGTTTATAAATAATACTTACCGATGCTGTGACTAACTTCATTAAATTAAAATTTGTACGAGTAGGACATGAAAATAAATGCAACTTGTGATGGTATCTCTTTGCGGTATTAGTAAGTTCAGTACCAATAGTAAGCAAATGGGCTAGTCGTACTTCCTCAAGCTCAGGAATCTTAATCTCTATAATTTTTGCCCCGCGAAGTTTTAGTTCATTGATATAAGTATTTAAAGCAAGAGTAATGGCCGGGTTATCCACTTGCTTATTCCAGGCTGAATAAACGCCAATTTTTAAGTCACTTAACGTATTAGTAAAGTAAAGACCATGTAATGTGGGCAACGGTTGATGTAAAGAATGGGGGTCCTTAAAGTTTAAAAAATTTGTTAAAATAACGTACAATAAGAAATTTTGATCTTATTAATCCGCACCTTTGGATCTTTTCCAGCCATGACATAATACGATAATGCCAAATCGTCCACATTTGCAGCCATAGGACCCGATACGGCAACTGAATGTGCAAGCGGGACTATTTAATAGTATTATATTTCATACGTTAATTATATTTTTATTTTATTTTATTTTATTTTTTTTTTTAAAAAAAAAAAAAATACCCACATTCGCCATAAGCAGAAAACCTTCCACATGTGGTTTTGAGACCATAAATACCACAGAATGATGAAGGTATCCTAAATAAAGATAAAACTCTTAATGAAATACATTTCAAAAAATTAGTCTCTCGTTTATCAATGTGAGATTTACTTAGTTACCTAATGGAACCTCCACCATCACATCCTATAGCTATTGGACATAATCCAGAGGCAACAGCAGCACCGCTACCTCCACTCGATCCTCCGGGATAATGATTTGCATTGTAGGGATTTCGCGGTGTACATACAAATGGATTATTATTTGTAATACTGAGTTATTTTAGTATAAAACATTATTTTTTTTAAGAACATAAAGCACTGATTTAACAACTTACCCAAATCCAATTTCGTGCATTGCCGTTTTTCCGATAATAATTGCACCTTTCTCTTTTAGCCTCTCTATAATAGTCGCGTCGTCCTTCGCTGGATTTCCATGATTTATAAATTTGGTGCCAGCATTAGTTTCATAACCTTTGACATCAACCTCATCCTTAACTGCTATCGGAATACCATCAAGCAGACCCAACGAGCAATCATTAGCATATCGTTCCGTTGATGCAGTGGCTTGCGCGATGATATCATCGCGTTGGTACTTAAAGATAGCATTGAGAGGAGGATTACATTTAGTAACATCAAGAGTTTCTTCAATCTTCAATAGAAGTGCTTCGCATACCTAAGTAAAAAAAAAAAAAAAGAAATTATATACATATTTAAAATTCATCCTTCCATATAAGTGATTATATCATATGGGTTTATTGCTAGAAAAATCAGGTTCCGGGATACTTACTTGTAGGGGAGTAACCCTTTTAGCAAGATAAGCTTCATGAAAATCACTTGTGCCTAAAAGTCCTGAGGAATAATTTTTCGGACGCGAGTCTTTTTGTTTCTCGAAAATTTCCAAGCCATCGATTACCTTTTTTCAATAACTTATATTTTAATATTTTTTTAAAATATCAAAATTTCCTTTATGAATAAACGAACCGTTGTTTCCTCGATTCCAAATGCTTCTTTTGGTAAAGGAAGTGGAAAAATTGTTGGATGGTCCTCAAAACTCAGTTTTCGCAATGCCTTAAGTCCAGCGTTCCAGAAAAAAAATGATGCCATTCCTGGTACGTAATCCAGCATAAAGATCATAATTCGTAGAGGAATTCCGCTAAGATACGGAGCTTTAAGTCGACGAGTAACCTAAAAAAAGTAAATGATTAATTGCCATTGAATCTAAAAAAAAAAAAATAAGTATATTTCCTTACATCATGATGTACTGTACTTTCTTCGTTATTTTTTTTGCTATTTGATAGCTCTAAAGATTCCTCCATTGAAATAATTATTTTCAAAAATTAAAACCTAGATTCCAAAGGTTTATATTATCATGTCGATCAATTTTTTAGTTGTAAATACATGTGATTTTTACATTATGCATCCGACTTTGTATTATGATAAAATGGTGTGTAACCATATGAGAAAATGTATCAACAAATTTTGTATCAACACTTATTTGGAATTAAGTAACATGTCTAAAAGATCTCAACGTGAAAGTTATTCTACTGATCAAAAAAATAAAGATCCTCTTGAACCTTCAAGTTCTAAAAGAGTTCGATTTCAAACGTCCGATGATTCTGCAGCAGCTGAATCAAATGTAAATGAAGAGGGTGAATATGATGAATTTGATCATGAAACCTCTTTAGAAAAAGCCAAACTACGTCGTGGTGCAGTTAAACTTCAAGGATATGCAAGTGATGAAACAGATACCAGTGATGACGATGGCACAGCTCTTTTTAACCGTCGAAAAGGTAAAGACAAAGCTGATGATTTGGATGATATGTTTGCGGATGATGATGATATTTCATCTAAACAAAGAGGAGATGATGTAATTGGGAAGAAAAAGGTTAGGTATTTGGAATTGGATGAAATTGAAGGTCAAGAATATACATCTAGGGATGCATACGATGAAGAATCTGGAGAACCTATAATTGAAGCTTTTAATATGAAAGCTGAAATGGAAGAAGGTAGATTTGATGAAGCGGGAAATTATGTTCGTAATAAAAAAGACCCCAGCGCGTTTCATGATAATTGGCTTCAAGGTCTTTCACAGAAAGACATTGAAAAAGCTAAACGAGCACATGAAAAGCAAGAGCAAGACAGAAAACTTAAAGAAGCTGAAGAAGCTTCAAGAGGTCCACTAGATCGGGTTTCAATATGGAAGGAACTTTTAGCAATCATGAAACGGGGTGAGACATTATTAGATACTTTACAAAGATTAGGCGGAGGACTAAATAATAAAGGAAAGAATAAACGAGGACAAAAGCATTACAAGAAAAAGAAGGGCAAAACAGATGAAACAATGGAAATGGCAATTGATAAAGAAGAACTCACACCTGAAGAAGTCGCTGAACAAGAGCGCAAGAAACAAATAGAAATTCTTACTGATCTATCTGATAAAATGATGGCATTAGGACATTTTAATGTTTATGATGATACATGGGAACAAATCCTAAGAAATTTGAAAAGGGAAAAAGCAGTTCCAGAAGATTGGATACCAGGAAATTTTGAGGAGGAGAAAGAAGCTGAAAATGATTCATTAAATACACCTTTTGATGATTTTTCAAGTAGTATAGCGACAACACAACAATTATATTGGGAATATAAATGGACAGACACGTCAGATGCTAATTCTAATGATATATATGGACCATTTTCGGGAGAAGATATGAAAGCTTGGAATGATCAAGGATTTTTTGCACAAGGAGTTTTAGTGCGAAAGGCAGGTACTGAAGATGAATTTACTAGTTCCACCGGTATTGATTTTACTAGTTTTACTTGAAAAAATATTCTTATTTTAAATTTTATGGGATTTATAACCGTTTTAAATAAATTCTTTGAATTTATAAAAACAAAATAAATGGTCAATAAGTTTTTTATAAATTTTTATCAGCCTAGCTTTAATTATAATAAAAACAATCACAAACTTAAGGATTTATTTATTTATTTATTTTACTGATGTAAAATCCCTGTTCAAGTGTATTTCGAAACTCAACAAAAGGTTGTTTGAAGAAAATTAATTTAAGATCATATTAAACGTTAGGAAAATGATTATAAGTAATAAGAGACTAGACCTCCTAATCCAAATCCAACCAATCCAGCTACAAACACTCCATAATCAAACCCAATTCCTTCATTGGAATCTTCTCCAACAGAGTTTTGAATTTGTTCTGGATTATCACGTGATGAATCATCATCATCTTTTTCTTTTCGTCTTTGCCTTTTAATATGCTTTCTTAATTGCTTATATTCTTGTTTTAATTTATAATTTTTGGCTTCTAATCTATTTATACGCGTTTCACTTAAATGTTCTTTCCAAGTTGTTCTCTGCAGAGTTTGTTCAATCATTCTTATCCTATTATCCAAACGATATGGATGAAATAATTGATCGTGAGATAATTTTAACTTACGATTAACGTTACTACTATTATTATTATCCATTCCATTTCTTTCGGTGAAAGGAACATGTGATTCTTCGTCTAATAAAAAAAAGCAATTTGAGATAATTGGTGATAACACGCATAACGATTCTTGACTTGATGTTTACCATTCATTTCTTCATCTTCGTCGTCCTCATTCTTTTTACACTTCATTCCTTCAATAACAGAAACTATATAGTCACGTTCACTTTCACCATTTTCATCACTATCTCGATTATCAACTTTCATCTTCGACCCTTCATCACTTCCCTCAAGGTCATCATTAATCATCCAAAAATTTTCTTTAGCATAGTTCATCGAACTCGGTTTATCTTTTAACCTTTTACTCCTTCTTATGATGGTTGTACCTCCTTCTTTTCCATCTTCTTGATATTCTTCATCACCATTAATAGATTCTTCTTCATAAGTAGAATCGTCTTTTACACCTTTTCCTTTATGTTTGGATCCGTCACTTTGTATATTTATTTTATCATGAATTCTATTAAATTTTCTCAATGAGATTTGTCCATTATTTTGTATTGTTTTTAATAAATTATCATCTGACCTGTAATTACCTTCATCGCTTGTATTATCATTCATTTTTCTTTTTATTCCTTGGCTGCTATAATTCTTTAACCTATGATAAATTTTATGTGATAAAGGGTTTTCCTCTTCAGACTCCCTAATATCTTTACCTTCTTCTTTCTCCTCTTGAAATTCACTTGCTTCTTTCCCTTCGCTTTTCAATTTCTTTTCTGATCTTGTGATTTCTTTATTTTCTTCTTGAGAACTACTACTATCTTCAATAAATATTCGAAAATTTTTTGTTCTACGCATTTTTCGTTCAATGATTATGATAATACGTCATGTGATGTTATTGTTAGTGAAATAAATCAAATATTTATGTTTTTTTTCACATGTTACTTATTTTTAAATAATTACAATAAATAGATAGGAGTGGCCAGAAATGACGTTATTTAAAATTTCAAGAATTTCCTCACTATATTATAAAATTTTATAGTATTAAATTTTAAAATAATTGATCTTGTAAATTTGTAAATCATCATACGATTCGTATTTTCTTTTATATAATCAAATTTATTTTGTTATAGTTAAGGATTTTCAATTCTCACATCTTTTGCCCTTTCTGTACTTTAATATATTAGTTTAAAAATATTTTTGATGGAAAATAATTATTATATTTTTGATATATAAGATTATTATAAATCTGGAATAATACATTCATTATAATCTAGTAACTTTTTATTCTAAACTGTAAAATAGACTTAAAATAATTATACAGATCTTATACAATAAATGATATGTAAAATACCATAAAAGATTTTAGATTTTAGATATATATGATTATTATATAACAATACTGATCCGTATCCTTAAATTATTTAGCAGTCAAATTTGTTTGCAAATTTTAAAAAATATTAAATTCTTAATAAAATTTAAATATTAATTTTAATAAATAATAATTATATAAAAAATGTAGTTTAATATATTTTATCAATTTTATTAAAAAAAATTTTAAGTTTATTAAAAAGTTTTATAAATAATTCAATTTAAACTTAAGGTTTTAAAAATTTTATTATAATAATTTTTTAAAAATTTCTTAAAAATTCATATATTTACAAACTGATTGAATTTTTTTACTATTAATAAAATTATAAAATTTCTTAAAATCATAAATATTATAATAATTAAAGTTATTCTTCATAATAAATTTATCATATTCTATTATGATTAATATTATTAAAAGTAAATTTTAATAAATTTGTTAAAGGTTAACAATAACAAAATATCTCATTTTATAAAAAAAAGTATCAAATAAAAGTATTTAAAAGTATTATTTTGTTTTATTAAAATTAATTTTTTTAAATATTTTAATTAAAATTATATAATCAGTAATTTATATATAATAATCAAAAGTTATAATTACAGTTTTTTATATAGAATTTTTTTTTTTTTAAATATATAATAATTTAAGAAACATTAAAAAACTTTTATTAAAAATAAAGTTTACTTTGAATTTTATAAAAATGTGCAAAATAATATTATAGCAAAGTTTTTTTTATATTACGATTTAACAATTATTATTTTTTATTTACTAATTAATTGACTATATCATTTTTTCTTAATAATAATAATGCTTTCAATTTAAAGATGGTGCCTCAATTAGTTGCAACAGGTAACAAATAAGCATTACAATGTTGCAACAAATTGTAACATTATTAAAATTTAAGTTGCAACAGGCAACAAATAAGTGTCACAATGTTGCAACGCCATCTTTATTTCAATTATATTATTTATGTTACCTTCTTTTTAAAAAAAAATACTAAAGACTTTTAAAAAATATTATTAATAACATAAGTATTCAAAAATGACATCTATTATTTTACTCTTTAACATTTTTATATCTAAGATGTAATATTGATTATGAAGATTTCTATTATATTTAGTTGTATCTTATAGTTTATTAACAGTTATTTAATAAGCAAAAGATTATTTTAAACTCATTACTAATATATAAAATTTTGAAATTAATAAGTTGAACTATTAGCTTCTTTCAAGATATAACTTTATATTATTTTTATAATATTAAAAGGAATTATTTCTTAAATATCTTTTAACTTTATATATGACAAACTGTTCAGCTCAATTCTGATATATACTTTCTGTATTTTTTCATATAATTTGTATTTAAAACCATCTAAAAAATCTGAACAAATCAATATCATCTTTAAGTAATTATCAAAAAGCTGATGATATTAATATAATATTAAAAATAAAAATTTTATATCTATTAAATATACTTTTCTTCTAATTATAATACAAATTTTCTTTATATAAATCTAATTAGTATTATAATTCAGATAGAATTCTATTAATTGTATATTTAATGTAATAAATACTAAATACTATTCTGTTTCTTTTCTTATTTTGTTTTTTAAAAAGGAATATTTTAACTTAGATTAAGTTTAATTTTAGAAAATTGCAAGGTCAATCTTTTATAGATTAGTCTTAGATTAGTTATTATGAAATTTTCATAACTTTTTTATATATATTTTACTTTATATAGAATTATTTTTATTTAAATAAAGATTTTGTAGAACTACCATATTTTAAAAAAAAAATTTTATTTATTTATTATAAATTCTAATTAGAACTCAAATTTAATCATAATCTTACTAATTTTAGATACATTAAATACTAATCAAAATAGTCTAAATCAGCTAAAAATCAAATAGCTAAATCTAAGTCAATTTTGATATAATTTATGGCTGATTTGCTATATTTCCTAATTATTTAAATCACTATTAATCAGATAAGTAATTTAGTATTAATTATTTTTAAGCTTTTTCATATATAATTCATATTAAAAGGAGAAAAAGATAATGAATGAAGTTATTCATACTGTATTATTAAAACTGTATATCTGTGGCTTCTGTAAATAAGTTTCATTTTTATTGAATTATAATAGTAAAATTGAATTTTCTTCTTTTTATCTTATTTTATTTACATATGTATCTTATTTTATAACTGGATGGTAAAATATGCTATAACGATTTTGTGATTAGATTTATATAAAAGAGTTTTATACATCATAATACTAGTCACAAAATCAGTAGAAATAAAAATACCATCAAATTTCTTTGGTATTGAGATTTTTGTAAAACTTTATGATGGAAAAAAGATAAGTATAATATTATTATTATTAATTGATTGTAAATCTATAAAGTTTCTATAAGATAAACCTTCTACAGATCAAAATATTAATCTAATTTTTTATTAAGCTTCAATCTTTCATAATACTTATCTATATATATATTAAAATATCCCATTAGAATTATATAATATTATTATTTATTGTACTTATCTAATATATTTAAATTTTATTTTTTTATTTGTGTCTACTTTTAGAATTTTTTAAATTATTGTAGATATAGCAGCTGATTATTCTAAGATTTATATGTTACTACTACTTGATTTATTTAATATAAAATATAACATATTGATCTCAAGAATATCAATTAATAAGATACAAGTTAATAAGCTTACTTGAAATTAAGATAAACTATATTATTCTTTTCAATTTATTAAATCTGTTTCTAAACTATTGATTTTCTTAAGATATACAAATAATAATTATTTAATATAAAGGTATTTTTATTAAAGAAATGAATTAATACAAAGATTCCTAATTGTGTTACTATAAAACTGTCAAATATAAATCTTCTGTTGATTAATGTCATTCTTATTTCTGCCTTAGATTTTCCTCTGTATTTATATAAAAATATCACATGATAATAAGCTAATTATTTTTATTTTTTCTGTCAATTTTAGTTATATTTCTGTATTTCTATTTTCTATTTTTGTTTTTTGTCTTTATTTTCTGGTTTCTTTTATATTCCATCTTCTTATATTCTAAATATAGTTAATTATAAGTATTTAGCTAATTACATCATTTAACTAATTATATCATTTATCTATTCTAACCATATTCATCTAACAAACATCTCTTTTCTATTATACTATATTATATAATTTTACTTTGTCTTAAATAATATATCATTTTATATAATTATTATTTTACTATATAATAAATTACTTTTCTAATAATTAATATTTAATAAATTGTTATTTGATAATTGATTTTGTGACAATATCTTTTTAAATATAAGTCTATATAAAGTAATCTTAAATATAAAGTAAAAGAAAATGCAATGTATTTATTTCATTTTTTGAGATAAGAAGAATAATACTAGTATAAAGTTATAGGGGCTCAAGTTAATTTTAAAATATTATAAAATATTAATCATATTTATATTTATAAAGTATCAATAATCTATAATGTATTTTATTAAGATTAACAAAGTCTATGTTTCTATTTATGAAATATTCTAATATTTGAGAAGATTTTATTAAAAAAACATTCATATTAAATAATAAAGTATTCTAGTTATCAGTAGAAATACTTTTAATTTATGATTTACCTAATATAAAGTATATAATCGATAAGCTATAGGCCTTTATTATTAATAAAAATAAAAAAACTATGAGTCTAATTTAACTAAATGTGATTTAATCAAGTCTAGTTCCTGTAGTTTAGCTAGAATCAAATCAAAAGGATTAGAATTAATATTAGTAATTGTAACATTTGTTGGTATAAAAGTTACTAAAAACATCTTTTTCTTTATTAATAGAAGAGAAGATGAAGAAAGAGACAAAGGCATAGTTAGTATAAAAATGATTCTCATAATTATTTTCAAATTTCAATTAAGTTGCAATTTAATTGTGTCATAAGGAAATTTAATTACACTATAAGTTTGTAATTCAATTATGCTAATTTTTTAATTGTAATGATCATCTTTAGTTTAATGTATTATTTATTAAGTCTATATTTATACAATTAATTAAAAGCTTTTGTTTTTTCAGTAATTATTAGATAAATATAATCAACTCTTTCTACAATGAATTTTGATATAACGAATTTTACAATACAACGGATTTTCATTGTCAGACAGATTTTTAAATATAAAAAAA